CATCCCATTGCCATAGCCAGCAGCATCCTTCCTTTGCTTCCAAGTTAATAACAGTGGGGAAGGGAGTCCTTGACCATATTTCAGGGCCAGTATCAATACTGAGGCTCCTAGTTGCTGACCCCTTGTTTTATTTTGAACACTCCACATACATAAACGGATTCCTTTTCTTGTAGAATCAGGTTAATTCTTTCCTTTTTTTAACTCAGTACTTTCAATTCAGAAGACATTTGTTATAATTTTAAAACACGTTTAATATTTTAAAAATTGGAAGCTTGAACGCTTGGGCTAAAGACTATTCCTGAAAATATCAGGATGAGTAATGCTTTCTTTGAGACAACTTTGATCGGATGTGTTTGGTTTTGCATGAGAACGCAAGGGGGAAGTTATCTTGCTTTTTTTGACTGCCCTCTGTAGATGAATCCCTATGGAGGCACCAAAGCGCTAGACAGAGTCTGCAGGTTATTTTTTGTAATGTAATCAAACGGCATTATAAAACTTCCTAGGATCAGTGGTGGGTTTCAAAAATTTTTACTACTGGTTCTGTGGGTGTGGCTTGGTGGGCATGGCATGGCTTGGTGGGCGTGGCTTGGTGGGCATGGCAGGGGAAGGATACTGTAAAATCTCCATTCCCACCCCACTCCAGGGGAAGGTTACTGCAAAATCCCCATTTCCTCCCGATCAGCTGGGACTTGGGAGGCAGAGAATAGATGGGAGCGGGGCCAGTCAGAATTTTTACTACCGGTTCTCCGAACTACTCAAAATTTCCGCTACCGGTTCTTCCGAACTGGTCAGAACCTGCTGAAACTCACCTCTGCCTAGGATGTATCCTTGACAGTGAATGCAAATTACTTACCACCCTTCAAATTACTACTACTCAAAGTTTCTACTGACCATGTTTGTGTGGTCAAAAATGATCTGAAGAGTGAACAGGCTATTTCACAGATGGGCAATATACTGTCAGTGAGATCCAATGTGCCCAGTGCTATTTCACTTGGCAAATGTCAAGTTGAATGACAGACTTGACTTTTCTTTTGTAGAAAATAACTACCAAAATATTTTTTAAATGAGAAAATTGGCTTGCTGAAAGTTGCCAAGTATCTACTCATCTACTCCCTAAAAGAGAAACGTTAATTGAATTATAGAAAATATCCTAGCCATGGTGATGTCTAGAGGACATCAGTTTGTTTTCTAGAAAATGGTCCCTGCCTAGGCAAGCATTTGTAAATAATCAAGCTCTCCATGGCCAAACTATTGAGAGAGAGACTACAGCAAAAGGGAATGCAATATTCCTTCTACATTTGCCCTCTGTTGCTTCTGATCACTATTGTGTCATATATCTTCTCTGTCTCCCAATTTATATGGCTGTCCATCTCCCAACTCTGGGTGGGAAAGAAAGAAAAAAAGGAAGGAAGGAAGGAAGGAAGGAAGGAAGGAAGGAAGGAAGGAAGGAAGTTCTAAAAAGAAAAGCTTTTTCACTGGATTCTCTAGAAACCTTTTGGATGTTCCTATAATGGCTCTGCAGATCCATGCAGATTATTTGTTGGTTCTGGTTGGTTGATTGATTTGATATACAGTATTTCCTGTGTTTTCTCCAGGAGCTCAAAGGTCCTCCGGATTGAATCTCCTTTCATTTTATCCACATAACAGAAACCCTAGATTAAATACTAGACTGAATTAAAACAGAATTACTTCCCCTTAACTACTCAGTTTCAGTTTGAATCTTCTGGTCCTAATTGAACAGATCACATTTATCATAAACTGCAGGATGATAGAGGAGAATCTAAAATTTGGCTAGTTTAGAAACTCACACACCTGGAATGAGATTTCCCATGCTATATTCGTTTTGAGTATCCTATAGAATTCTCCTTCTGCTTCTCAAAAGAGAATTGTTCTGTTCACAAATAGCAGAAAAGGTGGCCGGCTCATGTCCTAATGAGTCATAATTAAATTCTTCATTCTCCCCACCAATGAAAAAGTGCTTTTATATAGAAAGTCATCCTACATATTCTACATAGACGTTATGGACCAGTTGCTTCATCAACAATGAATGGAAAATCCCATTATTTTCAAATGAAGACTTTTCTATTATGGAAGCCCTTCGTGATGCTTACTAACGTGGGACAGCTAGATAGAAGCTGGATTCTCTCATTTGCTCAAGCAGGCAAAAGAATATAATTGAGTCAATTGTACATTTTGAAGATGAAGAGGTTAAATCTAAGGCATCTTGAATAATATGGGGAATAAAACGGGATTTGAAAGAGGTGAAATCAAGTATAAAGGTCTCCAAGGAACACTGGGTTGAGTCAATTGAGGGAGCAGGAGATCAAAAGTTCTGGATGATTTTCCCACATTTTAAATCCACCTCCCTCTCTCTCTCTCTCCTTTCTCTGCAGATGCTTGACTCCTGATTTATGGTCTGCAGATGCTTAACTCTTGGTTTATGGGTTGCATCAAAAGCACTGGATTCCATAGAATCCAACAATTGGCTCATCTTGCTAAATGTAGCCTTCTGGGACGAATAGCAGTCCTCCAGAGATTCAGGATATCTTTTTCAACTTCGCTAATTAAAATGCATTAATTGAAGATACCTAGAAGAGGACTTGGGAATCTTTGGCATGTCAAGAAGGTGTAATAGATTTCTCTTCTGTTTTAAAGCAATTTTCCCTGACTTTGTACCCAGTGAATCTCACCAACTCTTAAGAGGTATGGATTTCAGCTCCCAGAATCCCCCAGCCAGGGTGAAGTCCACACCTCTTAAAGTTGCTAAGATTGAGAAACACTGATCAAGATGGATGGATTGAAACTGCCACTTCTCAAATTTCTAGCTAATATACAATTGCAGTCACAGCATAACTGGAAGTTAGCAAGTCAGAAATGCTGGCTCTCTACAGTTTACTCTTGCAAACTGATGGAATAAGGCAGAATCCCTCAAGGTTAATTGAGGGCGTCTTCCACAGGCCTGAGAATCCAGTCTCCTACTACTAAGTATGTTTGTGAGCAAGAGAGCATGTGCCTGTATTTATATAGAGATATATAGGTTTATTAGTTTTGAGACACTAATATCCTTTGCCTTTGTTCCAACTTTAGACTGTAAATAGGATGGAATAAGCAAAAACTCTCTGTGTATGTTGCATAGAGACAGCGAGGAACAGAACATTAAGAAACAAAACAGTCAAGATATTTAATCAAGGTGGCTCAAGGACCATTGTACATTTGGGTACAAAGCTTCAGGAGGCTAATTGGCAAAGCACAGGCATGGGTCAGTCATTCATACATGGACCATTTACATGAAACGAAGTTTACTTTTCATACAGTAACTTATCCAGAGGCTGGGAGGAAAGAACCAGAAACCCATTAATTTTAACTTAGAAAGCTCTTATGACAAGAAGAGTGGGGATTGGATCATATTAAAGGGCAAAAGGAATGGATGGAGTAGAACATGGAACTCTTGGAAAAGCAGAAAATAGTCTCTGGATTGGCCAGATATTGGAAAAGTATTAGTAGTCAGCTTGCAGATTTAGAACATTTCCACACCATTTCTGCTCCACATTCTCCCAGGAGCTTATTCATATTAACAATCATCTTCATTTCCGCTGACCTGATCACATCTCTGTCCCAAATTACAGCGGTCCTGGAATAACAACCTCGATGGCCTATCCCAGGCGAACAGAAAGTTTCAAAAAATGTTCCGCTTCCTTCCTCCAGTCCACATCATTATTTCATAGTGTCTGTTTCTCTAGTCATATATATATATATATATATATAAAATATATCCAAGCAATTTCCAGGAATGGAGCTGCAAAGCTGTCAAGCCATCATTCCCTTGAAAGGCTTGCTAGGATACCAGACGGCTGGAAGCCAGAGGTCTAAGCGAAGTGAGCATTCCAGCAGATTGGGAAATGAATTATTTAGGCATGCCAGAGAATTGCAGTCTTTTGAAGAAAAGACTCGTTTCCGTGGGCTTTTCCAGCCAGAAATATATTGCTTCAGCTGCCAAATATAAATGGTGACCGAATGAAACCATTACAGGTACAGAGATGTCTTTGGAGTGGGAGAAAATCTCCATGCAGAAGTCTGATAAGGAGAAGAGAGTCTTCGGACTACTTTTCGGAATCCAAATGAACTTCAAAGTCTCACAACTGGGCTTACTTATTTATTTTATTCATTTGTTAGATCTTTATCTCACCTTTATTACTTTATAAGTAACCGAATGTAGTGAATGTACATGATAATCCTTCTTCCTCCTCTTTTCCCCACAATAACCACCCTATGAAGGGAGTTAGGCTAGAGGTCATATTCAGCCGGTTCGGACCAGTTCGGACAAACTGGTAGTTGAAATCGCCTGGGCCCACCCACCTACCCACCCGCCCCGGCTCTATGCCATCCTATTTAGGCATGTTTTTGAGGCCGTACGCCTGCGCAGAAGGCTATGCGCCAGTGGTGGGTTGCCCCCGGTTTGCACCAGTTCGCAAGAACCGGTAGTAAAACTGACGGGAGGCTCTGCCCACCACCCCGGATGTCATCATCAGCGATCTGCGCATGCACAGAAGCAAGGCATGCGGACAAGCAAAGCAAGCACAAGCACGCAATCCCATTGCAAACCGGTAGTAAAGGCAAGTAGAACCTACCCCTGCTGTGTGCATCTGCGGAAGTCGTGCATGTGAGTGCAGGAAGCGTGTGCGCGCGCTCACATTTGCGAACCTGTAGGGAAAGTAAGTGAATACCACCCCTGAGTTAGGCTGTGAAAGAGAATAATTGGCCTAAAATCACCCAGCTTACTTTCATGCCTAAAACAGGACTAGAATTTGCAGTCTCCTGATTTTTAGGCCAGCACCTTAACTACTACATCAAGCTGACTCTTTTGCATTATGCCCTGTTGTAATTTGCTTAACCATGATTTCAGAATTGATCGGATTCAAACAATACACCGAGACAATCCAAACAACCCATGTTATAAGAGCTCAATGAATGGATTCTATCCAGGGGTGGGTTCTACTTACCTTTACTACCGGTTTGTAACAGGATCACGCATGTGTGCTGAGCTTCTGCTCATGCGCAGATCGCCAATGATGACATCCAGGGGGGTGGGCGGAGCCTCCTGCCGGTTTTACTACCGCTTCTTGCGAACCGGTCCGAACCGGGGTCAACCCACCACTGATTCTATCTCTGGAAATGTAAAAGTCCTGCTATTAGATCACAACCACAAACTTTCTATCCTATTTCTAAGTGAGGTGCTAAATTGCCTTTGGGAAGCCCATGGGATGATTTCCCCAGGAAATGAAAACTGGGGGCAAGTTGCCCTTGAAATGGATTCTGAGCTGAATCAGACATAGATCCAGTGGCTACCTTCCATGATTTGTTCAAGCTGCATTATAAACAAGGCAGCATTTATTGGTAAAGGAGTGGGCCTCCATTCAAAGTCTATTGCTGGCTAGAGAATTCTGGGAGTTGAAGTCCATCTTAAAGCTGCCAAGGTCGAGAAACACTGGGGTAGGAAGTACCTAGCTGCTGACATATATGTTCCTTATTAATCTTGAATATCCCCTTTGGCAAAGGAACACGTGTCCTCTTGTTCTGTAAAGTGTAAAAGGATGAAGCAGCTCTTAATATGGAAAGATGTGATTCTGTTTATATGGCACACATGACTGTTTCTCTCATTGTGCATATATTAATAATAACCCAGCCAGAGAGCCAAAAAATCAGAGGGATCAAAGGAGTTTTAATTGATAAATATCTAAGATTTTGCTTGCATAACAAGCTTCTCAATCCTCCCTTGGAGGCTTCACCTGGTCTTAATTTATTTCTTGGTTACCAAGGCGCTTGTTTGTTGATGAAACTGGGACCAGAATTTGGCCTAGAAGTCTCCAAAGATCTGAATGATTCCTTGAATGGGCAATTTGGGGGTGGGAAATGAGGTGCCAAGAGAGACACCTGCAATGAAAAATTGTATTTTTTTTACAAAGCATCAGCAGTAAATTTGCCTAAAGGCTTCTCCCACTGGCCTCTCCTTTGTGTAATTTTCTCTTTGAAAAAATTTGCCTGCCAAAAAGTGTCTACTTTCATAAAGTGAGAGAAAAACTCTTGGGAATGGCATATTGAGGTCACGGTGATGGGAAAGGCAGGGAGGGGAATATAAAAATATAAAAAGTATTAGTGCACTGCTAGAAACTGGGAGGGAGGTTAAAAGTGGTAATTTAAATGTGGAATATTAAGACCATCTCCAAATCTCATACCAGCTAATCCCAGCGTCAATAATAATTAGATGGCATCTGCTGTCCTTCAATTTTTAAAAAAAGTTATATTTTTAGAAATATAGCTTTTCCTAAATGGCCATGGAGTCTCATAAGATGGTCAAAGACTCCAAGACCGAGTGGCTGTGGTTTCCGGCGTCCCGGCATAGTCAGTTGACTCCATCACTGACTATTGGGGGTGAGACCTTGACCCCCTCAGAGAGGGCTCGCATCTTGGGTGCCCTCCTGGACTCGCAGCTGTCCTTAGAAGACCACCTGACGGCTGTGGCCAGGGGGACTTTTTATCAGGTTCACCTGATTTACCAGTTGCGTCCCTTTCTGGATCAGGACTTCTTACGTACAGTCACTCACGCCCTCATCACCTCCCATCTGGACTATTGTAACGCTCTCTACATGGGGCTCCCCTTGAAGAGCACCCAGAGGCTCCAACTGGTCCAGAATGCAGCCGCGCAGGTAATTACGGGAGCGATTCGACGCTCCCATGTAACACCGCTCCTGCACGAGCTGCACTGGCTCCCAGTGGTCTTCCGGGTGCAATTTAAGGTGCTGGTTGCTACCTTTAAAGCGCTCCATGGCTTGGGACCTGGGTATCTATGAGACCACCTTCTGCCACCGATAACCTCCCATCGACCGGTACACTCCCACAGAGAGGGGCTCCTCCGGGTGCCGTCGGCTAGGCAATGTCGGCTGATGACCTACAGGGGGAGAGCATTCTCTGTGGGGGCCCCTACCCTCTGGAATGAGCTGCCCCCGGAGATTCGTAGGATTCCCGACCTTCGTACCTTTCGTTGCGCCCTAAAAACATTATTATTCCAACAAGCAGGGCTGGCCTAACTATTTTAATGGGTTGTTTTATTAGATTTTTTGGCCAATTTATTTAATTTATTTAATTGCTTTTAATTTTTATATTGTTATGATTTTATTTCTGGCTGTACACCGCCCCAAGTCCTTTGGGAGAAGGGCGGTATAGAAATTCAATAAAATAAAATATAAAAAATAAATAAAGATTTCAGTGGCAGTTTTACAACTGACACTTAATAAAGGATACAAGGCTGATAACTCTGACCAACAAGTTGGAATCTGGGACTCTTCTGGTCTAAGAGAAGCTGTTTACTTGGAAAAGTACAAAATCAGGATTTTGTATCTAATGACCAAGTATGGGGTGCTAATTGGGGAAATATTTCCATTCTTGTTCCGCACAATAAATTGGGAGCTACAGTTGAAGTTGGGAAGAATCTGAAGAGAATGTTTGTGGGCTAGAAAAGTTTGTTCATGTCACCTTTAGGAAACAATTTTAGTGAGAAGTCATGGGCCCTGTCTGCACTCTAGTTTCTCCAAAGATCAGGGAAGGAAAGCTACACACACACACACACACACCTTGACTTACAACCATTCATTTAGTGACCATTCAAAGTTACAAGGTCACTGAAAAAATGATTTTTTATTACTGGTTTTCACGCAACCATTGTAGCATCCCCATAGTCACATGATCAAAATTCATATCCTTGGCAACTGGCATGTATTTATGACAGTTGCAGGGTTCCACCTTTTGCAACCTTCTGACAAGCAAAGTCAATGGAGAAGTCAGATCAGGGGTGAAATCCAGCAGGTTCTGACAGGTTCTGGAGAACCAGTAGCGGAAACTTTGAGCAGTTCGGAGAACTGGTAGCAGAAATTTTGAGTAGTTCGGAGAACCAGCAAATACCACCTCTGACTGGCCCCAGAGTGGGGAGGGAATGGAGATTTTGCAGTATCCTTCCCCTGCCATGCCCACCAAGCCACGCCCACCAAGCCATGCCACACCACACCCACCAAGCCACATCCACAGAACCAGTAGTAAAAAAATTTGAATTTCGCCACTGAGTCAGATTCATTTAACAACCATGTTACTAACTGCAGTGATTAACTTAACATTGTACTGAGACAATGGTTGGCTTCTCCCAAACGTTGAGCCACCAACAATCCAATCTTCTTTTAGCCTGGTCTAGTATGTTGTATGAAACCACCTAGTAAGATTCTAAAAAGGCCTCATAGATCCAGATAAAAGGCTAGTTTGGACTAGTCTGATTGCCTGATTTAATAAGCAGGAGTTTCTCATTTTGTTTTGAAAAGTTCCATTAAAACTTAACTAGACATATGAACTCTGCTGTATAATGTAGGGCCTTTTGTCACAATCACAGCCCTACAAAATCTGGGTTACTGAGAAAAATGTGCAAGCCATTCAGGATATGCTCAGAAGAACTCTTTATTAGTAACCCTGCACCGTCTCCTGTGGCTTACACTGATGTGGACTATTTTATGGCTGTGTTAAGGAGGGAGACTGCTGTGCTGGAAAATTGAATTAGTGGACTCTTGAGGGCTTCAGCTCATGTTCCATTACCTAGAAAAGCAAAACACGCTTCACAGATGAAACAAAGACTGACCATAGTAAATTGCTAGGCAGAAGAAGGTAGAATTGCTGGGTAGGTTTAGGAGAAGATCTGACTGAGAACTCAAAGTCTCTTTGTGGGGAAGGGAGTCCTAATGCTAGACAGATATAAAGCAGAACACTTACTGGCAGAATTCAGGCCAGAAATAAGGTTTACGTCTTGGCATATCTTCTTTCTGTATAATGAGAATTAATGTGTTGGGTTTAGATAATGGGGATGGAGGAAAAGGCAGAGGTGAATTTCCTGTTTATTTTTCAACCTCATTAAATGAAACTGAACCAGCAACTTTTGTAAAGCTCAAGCAATCTCAAAAGGTTGTGAAGAATGATTGGGGGGGGGGAGAGAATGCCCCTGTGTTCATCACTCCAAGAATCTTAAGGGACAAATGAATCTACAGCATAACTGATTTTGGATTCTTCTGATTGGAACAACCTTTGCGTTACAAAACTCCACCAGCAAAAAAAAAGACCAGCTGAAATTCCAGAGTGAAATTATGCAATAAGACTGCACACTATTTTTAACAATACAACTCAATATTGCTCTACTATTAACATGCGAAAGTGGAGATGTTCTAATTTAATATCTCAGAGCAAGGGAACTTTGTAATAGAATAGAGTAGAGTAGAGTAGAGTAGAGTAGAGTAGAGTAGAGTAGAGTAGAATAGAATAGAATAGAATAGAATAGAATAGAATAGAATAGAATAGAATAGAATAGAATAGAATAGAATAGAATAGAATAGAATAGAATAGAATAACAGAGTTGGAAGGGACCTTGGAGGTCTTCTAGTCCAACCCCCTGCTTAGGCAGGAAACCCTATACCATTTCAGACAAATGGTTATCTAATGTCTTCTTAAAAACTCCCAGTGTTGGAGAATTTACAACTTCTGGAGGCAAGTTGTTCCACTGATTAATTGTTCTAACTGTCAGGAAATTTCTCCTTAGTTCTAGGTTGCCTCTCTCCATTAGTTTCCACCCATTGCTTCTTGTCCTACCCTCAGGTGCTTTGGAGAATAGCTTGACTCCCTCTTCTTTGTGGCAACCCCTGAAATATTGGTACACTGCTATGATGTCTCCCCTAGTCCTTCTCTTCATTAAACTAGACATACCCAGTTCCTGCAACCGTTCTTGATATGTTTTAGCCTCCAGTCCCCTAATCATCTTTGTTGCTCTTCCCTGCACTCTTTCTAGAGTCTCAACATTGCTTTTTCCCTTCGTTTCTTCCTGATGCTGAACTACAGGATGATGTCCTCTATCTAAATTCTCAACCCTTGACAACTTTAAGAGGTGTAAAAACTTCAACTCCCGACTTCTCCAACATGCTGGTTGGTTCATTCCAGGAGTTGAAGTCCGTACCTCCTAAAGTTATCGAGGTTGAGAATTACTGCTCTACAGTATTTACTGGGTTCTTTCTCCCTGTAATGGAAGTTTTTGGCAAGAATGTGAAAAATGATGGAGA